TTTTTTTTTATTATATAATTTTTTTCTATTTTATTATTAATATTATTGTTAGAGCCTGTAAAAATGTTTTTTAATGGTTTTAGTTTTAGTTTTTCTCACGCATGTTTCTTCTTCAATAGTGTTAAAAAGCATCCCGTGACGCACCTGATGAAGTTGGCTAATGAATGTTCATAGTGAAAAAAAGCTGTAAACTCAACAAAGACGAAGCAGAAATATATAAGAATCTTCATTTGTGTCACACGTTTTTATCACTACATCACTCCCAGACCTCTATTTGAGTACTTTAATCAGTTGCCTGTTATTTTAAAGTGATAATAGTCATGAAAATGAGTGATGTGTCCAAACTTTTGACTGCTAGTGTACATAAATGAGACCTTATACAGATCCAGTCCTGGTAAAACTGAAGAACATTACTTGACTTTTGTTGAATTGAAAAATAAATGTTGCCTTCGAAAGCGTCCCATAGATTTACAGCAGTGAATTCATGTAAACCAGGCCTCTTTTGCCTGTCAATTTACACAAATTCACTGGAAATGTGCATGAATAGTCTGAAGCGTGTGTCTCAGCACTGTTTTCTCAGGCCACAGAAAATCCCCAGAGAGGAATTCCAGGCTTGGGTTTCTCCGGGACCTTGTTTGTTTTGCCCGAATTTTTTCGCCTCTCTCTCACCTACATGACAGAAACTTGAGAGAAGCTACACCAAGTCACAAAGCTCTGCTTTCAGTAGAAGCCAGAACGCCATGGAGGAAACATCCGAAAAAGTTCCTTTTGAGGTACGTGATGCTTTCATTTTATCCTTAAACTTCACATTATGCGTCTAAATACACTTAATTTGTGTCTATAATCCAACGATGTGTGTTTAATAAGGCTTACAGTAGCTTGAAGCCCAGAGGGTTTGTGCGTGTGAAGACGACGGCGGTCGTAGCCTTCATCGCCGGCGCCGTTCTGCTGCTCTTTGGAGGCATTGGAGCTTTTTGCTTGTGGAAAGTCAGCGAGAAAGAAGTAAGTGTCTCAGACCAGACAGTACAGTAGTCTAAACTAGTTTGGCTCAAAATTAGGGCAACTGTTCAGCAACCTCCTACACAAAAATATCACTTTTGGGAGCGTCTATCAAATTCAGCCCACTAAAGCTAAAACTTGAACTCCTTAAAGGCGAATCAAAGCAGTAAACTGTCTATTATTGATGAGTTAACTGCGTAATAATAAAAACATTTTACTATTTGCTCTTCTTGATGTGCAGCAAATTGTTCTGTGTTTAGGGTTTTAATTTGCATGCATGCATTTGTAACACTGCTATATTTAAAGTATACATTTTTAATATTCGGCATTGCATAATCACACCGTTTCGCTCTCAAATGCATGCTGATGCAATAGCGCAGACGTGTCGATATTTAAAGCACAGTAGGTCTGAGTTGGAATGAGAATATTTAAATTGCAAAGTGTCAGGAATGATCAATGAAGCAGGCAGCGGCGTGTTTGCATTTGCAGCCATCAGTGTGCATTGATTTCAGGCACCTCTGGCATTTCAAAAAAATCGGCCAGGTTAAAGACGGCAAACAAAGAGGTCTGTGTGCTGGGTTATAATCATGCAGTGTTAACACTGCAAACAGATCAGCATGCATCACTTCCCAACACAAACACAAACGGCCAGTAAGAGCTGCACCCGTGAGCAAACCACCTGCTGGACCACTGCACAAAATAATGCACCAATATTATACAGTATGTTTCATATGGAATAAATCAGTGGTTCACAACTACAGTAGGTTTGCTTCAGGATGCAGATTAAGTGGCAACCCAAAACTGATTAATGTACAAAAGAAAAAAAATGTCACAAATTATTATTTATACTAATTTACTTTATTTTGGAAGCATTTTCTCCTCCTTTTGACAAGTATGCATGATGGATGGTTTTATTATTTCCATTTAGCATCGTTTCTCCCTGATGAGAACCGCTGGATTAAAAGATTTAATATTTGTATGTTGCAGTGTTATTTTGAGATATTATTTTATTTATTTACGCCCGCATGCTTCATTCTACACATCAGACTCAAGTTTCATTTATTAGCTATACACTGGCTATACTGACCATATCTGCATTTCACTTTGATGAAATATGAATGAAATTGGTGATGTCTAAAATAGTCCTGCAGAAATTAATCTACATGTCCATCATGTTTCATAAACCTCAGATCTGCTACATGAATAATCATATAAATGAGACTAAATTGGGGAAAGGATGTTTATCAGGCTAAATGAAATGTAATTAGCTGTAACTGTGAATACAGTACGTATAAACGTTCTCATTAAACTCTTCACAGATTTTTCATCTCAAAATGTTTGCTTACAGCCAAAGTGTGTATTTTCGGCGTCATCAGCTTCACTAAACAGAATTTCATACCGCTTCACTGGCCACGCCCCCATCTGCTGTCTGTCAAACGGATAGCCCCGCCCCCAGACTCATGCCATTGGTTGAGCTAATGCTTTTATATCAGGATCAAGGTGTTAAGCCATTAACACTGAAAATGATAACTAAAAAGACAGCGATTAACTATTAGTGTCCACACCAACGCACAATACTGTTATGTTTATTATAAGCCCACGCTGCAGTTTTGTCGAGCACTTCGAGTTCATTGAAGTAGAATGGATTCTGATTGGCTGTCAATGTTTTTATTGTTCATCAGCTGGAAAAAACAATATGAAAGTGATTTCATCTCTCCTCTGTGTCATGATCGTTATAGACGTGGTGTGGCGTGACAAAATGTAAACTGCAATTACTTTTCACTTTTTTTTAATTCTGTGGCAGAATCAAGCTTGCATATCCTTCAGAAGTATATCTTTATCATTATAATTATCGTGTTTGGTTTGAACAGGCCTTTAAAGGATTAGTTCACTTCTGAATTAAAATTTCCTCATAATTTAC